ACGGGTGATGGCACTCGGTGCTCAGTACCTGGAGGAAGGGAGCAGGCTGGATCCTGTGTGGCTCATGCACCAGTGAGGGCATTTCAAGCTTTCACTTGCCATTTCTGCCCAGGGCAAAGCAAGCTGCCCCACAGCAAGGAGCCTGTGCCATGGGATCCCCACTGGGAGCTGCTGCTGCTCAGATTACAAAGGATAACAAAGACTAAGCAAAAACTCTGGAACATGCAGGACGTGTAATTACAGACCCAGAGCCTGGCCCAGGGCTGGCTCCAGACCAAGTGGCAAAATTTACTTTGAGAATCCATCATCTGAACTTTGTTTCAAGAGAAACACAAGACAAGCGCAGGCCCCCTCCTTCCCAGGAACCACTTCAGAGTTCCTGCCTGGGTGAGCACACACAACCCAAAAACCCAGATGTCAACATTCATTTTGGGGAGTGAAGAAAAAAACTGATGTTGCTCAGCTCACCCAAGTCCTTACAAAGGGTGGTGTGAACCCACCAGGATGTGGGGCGGTGTTCCTTTCCCCAAAACACTGTACAGAAACATCTCAGCAGCGTGCCTCAGGTTACAACACGCTCTTACTTAACAGGCCCAAATCCATGGGGGCGGTGGGCAAGGAGAAATCTGCTGTGCACACAGCGAGGCTCCGAGGAGCCCGGGTGCGTCCCGCTGCTGGGCAGGCCAGGCCCTGCTCGCGGCCCTGCCGTATGCACAACCCCCGCGAGCGCCCATGCTCTCCTGGGGATGGAGGCAGCTCTGGTTTGGAAACTTCCCACTCTGGCTGTTGCTGCAGAGAAAAAGCAGCAGAGCCAGAAATCACTGACACAGCAGCGGGCAGCAGTATCGCCTGGGCTGGGCTGGTTAGCCGAGCACAGGGCTGAACTGCTTCAGGCAGAACAAAGAAGAGCCCCTGGCATGGGACATAAGTAGTCTAAGCACCAGAGGACGACAGGCTGGGGCAGTTCATCAGCACAGAATCCCCAAAAACTCACCTCTGTGAGGAAGGCTGAGAGGGGCACACACGTGTGCATGCTTCTGGGAGTCCACCTAAAGTACTGCTAACAAAACGTTCCATCAAGTACTGCCATGGCTACAGCCCTTACTTTAGCCAATCAGGCACAGCAAGAGCCCTTTCCATCTGCAGTCCCACCCTATCAGAGCGGCAGCCGCAGTGAGCAGCTGTTTGGGGCAGGGAAAGAAGGAAAAAGAAGCAACTGCAATTCTTTTTTTATTAGCAAATGGACAGTATCTGGACGTCTAAAGGAAATGAGCCCTTTCCAACATTAACTCAAATGTCGTTGTCAATTACTTGCACCACTCCCACACTTCAGTGTTTGTCTTTCATACAGCCAGAACCTTTGGGTAAACAGAGAAAAGAAACACGAAAAAACACAATATATACAGGTTTCCCACCAACCGAACAGACTGAGATTTTTGGAGATTAGCAACGCTTTGTTCATCTGACTTCACAAGCAATATCAAAACATCTCAAGTTTTAAAATAAAAAAATACTACAATATTCACAATATAAAACTTAAATATATTTCTTAAAAAATTAAAGGACTGCTAACAGCTATTGGTTTATCACAGCTGTCTCTCAACAGAAGCTCTGCTGACGAAGCACTGAGAATTTAAGGTTCACAAAGCAACATTCACATTCTGCACTGCTCCAGGTCAGAGTTAAGGCAGTGCCACACATGAGACAGTGCTACTGGAGCTCAGCTCAGATACATCCTAGAGACAGGGTACAGCAAGGTCTCAGCACAAGGCAAGCAGCCCTGTTGAACGGGGCTGCCCAAGAGCAGAAGCGCAGGTCCACACATCACCATCACATGCACGTCTCCTCCGGCTGGCTGCACTCCCAGCTCTTCAGCTCAGGGCTGGGCAAACGGAGTGGAAGTGACTCCAGGTACATAATGCTGCCCCTCCCCTGCTCCTCTGTCCCTGCTAACATACCCCTGTCTTCTGTTGAATAGTCATTGAATAAAGTGACTGGAGAGAAAAAGCTCACGGGTCTGTCTCCTCTCTGGTGTAACTCTGCAGAGTGCAATGGAACCACACCAACAGGGCCTCTGCCCCACTGTGCTGGGTGTGCAAGCTTCCCAAAAACAGGGCAGACAAGGGAGCAAGAACCTACAAGGGAGCACTTCGATCCACCCTTAGGCCATCTCATCCACCACAAAAGAGATCATTAAGTGTGCTTGAAAAGCAAGAGAAGCAAATTTTGCCTAGGAAATCTGGATTCTGTGAGGGGATCCGGGTTTGGTTATTTCATTTTCACTACACCATTCAAAGAAAGCAGAAACCAGGACAAACAACAGCTACAGTATTTATCTCTTTGGTAACATCTGCAAAAGAGCCTCTAAGCAATGGGTACATCCTACAGTAACCATCATAAAAGACTGGTAAGATCCTGTGTAAGCTTCATAGATTGAACAAAAACTTGGGGCATGAACAAATAGCTTGCCCAAAATTAAACAGGGCCTGTTGGAGGGTGAGGAAGACTGCACAGGAACTGGATCCCTCAGAACAGTGCCTCAGGGAAAGCGAATCCCAGATATACAAGCGGAATCAATAACCTCCAAGTACAGACAGAAGGCCTGGAGTACATTTTGGGGTATTTCTTTAAGGCAAAAATGGGTAAATACTAGTTGAGGAGACTGGCAGGCTTGGCAAATACAGGCCAAGCTGCTACAATATACTTTCAGGGTTAAGCGGCTCCATGGGTCAGTTTAAAGAGGATTTGGATCCAAATGCTTTTGGTCACACACTACTTTGAAATCCAGCTCAGGTAAGCTGCAGCCTTTATATGAATGAAAACGACCTGTTATGTAAAATGCATTTGCTTTTCTTTAGTTCCTTATAAATAAAGTTTCACATTCAAAGTCATTTTCCGTACCCAGCTCTCCCCTCATTGCAAAAAGCCTCAGCTGATACAGCAGAGGCTGAAGAGCCAGCAGAGAACCCACCTGCTCTTTCCAGCTGAAGAAACAGTTTTCTCACAAGGGACTGCAGAGTTTTGAGGCAGAACAGCAAGACTTGCGTTGCTACGTTTCATATTTTACCTGGTTTTGTCTTGAGTGACAGCATAAACCAGTCACAACACAGAACAGCAAAAAACCAAACAGGAAGTCCTGTATATCTCTGATATTCCCAACAACGTGATAAAACACGAGGCCTGAACAAGAGGTTTGTCCAAAATGATCTACTGCTGCCATGAAATGCTGTTTCAGAGTTGAAATCTTGAATACCTGCCTGAAAACCTAACTATGCAGAGGCAGAAACCCACACTTCAGGAAGAACCTGGGACCGAGTCACCCCCATCCAGCCGTCACTAAAGCACGTTGCACGGGATGGATCAGAAACATGCATCTTCCTTAAATTTCTGGAATGGCACCCAACTAGCTGCACAGTCTCCCTGGGTGAAAGACTGTCGATAGCTGCTAGTTGAAGGCTGTGGTAACCTTGAACTCCACCACAGAAGTTTTATGCACCTGAAGCCTGCAAAGGAATGGGAGAAGAATAAGCTGTCTTCCAAACCAGTGATGGCAACCACTGTAAGTAAAGAGTTTTTGGAAGTGTGTCTCAAATAATTGTCAGGCCATGGTCCAATTCCAGAAAGTAAAAAGGCAGGAATTCAGGAGTCTGTAAGAAACAAACTGAAAACACTCACTCCTGCTTGAGTTTTTGTAGGGCAGACCATAGGCTGGTTTATGTAACTCTTCAGTCATTACACTGCTTGCTGCTCTGTAAAGGGTTAAATCCTAATCTTACCCAGTGACTGCATCCTTTCAGCAGAGATAAATGGAATCCCAGGCAAAAGGACCACTGGGAAATACATCTGCCATGCTGTGACAACAACATGCCTCCAACTAAGAGGACGGCTTGAGGTCAGTTTTCGCTTCCTCAGCCTTCTGCTTCTCTTGCTTTCTTGTCACTGCTGCTAAAATTGGTTCAAGGGCACTTGAGACTTAGTAGAAAAGATTTTTCTCTTTCTGTCAAAACCCCAAAGGTTTACTATTTAGTATGAGCACACAAAAGTAGAATCTGAATGCGAACTGGAAGTCAGTGTTATCCGAGTACCGTTACTGGAGAGCTGAGAAAACAGGAGTCCAGATTTCTTCCTTAAGGGCACATCTCCATTTTGCCAGCAGCTGCAACAAAGAGCATATAGTTCACCATGCTTGAAAGCTGCACAAATATCCATCGGGGAAGAGAAATTTCTCTAAGATATACTTTTTGGTTGGAGCAAAAGAGATTTGAGAACTGTTTTCTGGCTCCATCAAGAATCACTACTCCCTGCTTTACCTTCAGGAACCAGGAGGTAAGCTGAAATTTTATTAGGAGAACAAATATCGACTGACATGTTAGTCTGACCTAACAACTGAAATCTCTTTAAAACCTCATCCCTAATTCAGTTGTAGTACAACAGAGATTTAATTAATTCAGGATTGTTTTCCTGAAGTGGTATAAGGAAAAGCTGCCCCTAAATGTCATTTCAAGTGATCATCTTCATCCCCACCTGAGGGTCTGGGGACAAGGGAAGACACCAAAACCAGCCTGGTAATAATACTCAGCCCTTTGGGCTTTTCCTCCTCCGAGGGCTTTGCAAAGAAAAAGCCTCACCACATCCCTGTGAGGTAGGTCAGTAAGGATTACTGTATTCCCTTAATACAGATATGGAAACTGAGGCAGGGAAGTTACTCTTCTGAAGGCCACTGCAGGAGTCTGTCTCAAAAATGGAACCATCAGAGAAGACTCCCTAGCCTCAGAGAATTTCCCTTCCTCTCCCTTATCTCCCCTCTTCCCCATACGAGTCTTAGTGGAGAAATGAGCAATGGAGAAAGGGGCTACAGTGCCACATTTCTGACAGATAGCAGGACTCCTAGTACTACTCCACATACTCCAAAAAGGATTATTAAATATACAAGTACCTTCGAATTAATGGCAAAAAGACCGCACACATTATAAAGAAGCCAACATACAATACAAACCTAGCTTAATAAATAAAGACATGCAGCTGCAGCTGTGGCTGAGTGCTGAGGGGTACCCTCAGCTCAGTAAGGTCCCAGGTGCCAACGGGCAAGCCCATGTCACTCCTGTGACTCCACGGCCACGCCGACGAGCGCGTGTCTGATGGTGCGGCCGTGGAGCTTGTAACCGTCCTGAGTCACCAGCGCGATGGTGCCCGGCTGCACGCCCTCGGCGGGCACGTGGCAGACTATTTCATGGTCGTACGGATCGTATTTGCCACCAACAGGGTTCATCTTCTGAAGGCCGTGCTTGGCAAACACACTTTGCAATTTGGCCTCTATCAGAGAGAGGCCTTCGTAGATTTTCTTCAGGGTTGGATTCGGATTACTAGGCTCCGTTTCCTCTGCGGCACTCTCGGCAGTCTTCTCCAAGATATCGGCTACCTCCACGAGATCTCTGCAGAAGCTCTGGATCCCTACAGGCACAAAGAAGCAAGCAGTAAACAAAGGGCAGTTTACAGAATGTACAGAGCTGCAGTACCAATGCACTTTTAAAGCTGCTAACTAACTGATTTGAATTGTTATTTTAGTGAGAGCAGACGGTGTCTTATGTATCCTGTAGCCAAAGCTTTAGCCTTATAAGGGTAGTAATCTACAGACTCCCCAGATCAAAGTATATGCAGGAAAGGTACAGCTGTATGCATTGAGAGAGAGAGAGCGTGCATACTTGGCAAAGCACAGCATTAGTATTTCACTTCAAAAAGTTCTTGCAGCTAAGACTTGTGATTTGGGATGCTGTTGCACATCCTCTCATACAGTCCCACAGACCTAAATGTTTGGTCAGGCAGTTCACACAAATACCTGAACCTGGGGAACAAACACAATGGCGGGAAAGTAAAAATAAGACACGGCCATTCAAAAGTACATCCACAACTGGAAGTTAAAACCACTGTGGAAGTGTTACATGGACTCAGAATGGCTGTGCTTAGGGTGATAGATGCTGGACTGATAAGCTGACTCCACCTTAGAGTGATTAAATCCAAGCCCTAAGCCAAAGCATCCTTTATCAATTTTGCCCCCGGACCAAGCGGGGGCAACAGCTACCATGTAAATTCATTTCAATCCCCAGCGTACCAATATTCTCTGTTCTGTTACTATGGGGGCTACTTCTCCTGGCACTAGCCTGCTAGCACCCGATCCTGGGCAAGACTGCAATAAACATGATATCTCATCTCTGTGTGTTGATTGGATATTGCACACCAATATTGCACAAAAAGTTAAGAATCCACTTCTGGGACAACAGAAGGATTGGCCAGAATGGTCCTTGGGTTGGTCATGAAAGTCATGCCATCTTGTTCATTAGAAAGATGGCATTAGATTGTATATGGTTTCCAGAAGTGGTGTATTACACAGTGCAGAAGTTTCAGGAAAACCAGCCTCCCTCAGTTATATAGGTGCCATAACTAACTTACTGGAAAGACACATTAGGAAAACAGAGACAGAGAAACAAGTTAGGTGCTGTCTGTAGTTGTACATACATGTTTAAACATGAACAGAATGAAGAAGCAGGAAGGGGAAGCAACAAAGGAGCAGACAGAAGCAGACTGACTACCAACCATTTCACAGAATTAGGTCAGAAAAGACCTTTAAGATCACCAAGTCCAGATGTTAACCCAGCACTGCCAAGTATCCCACTTAACCACGTCCCTTAACACCACATCTACATGGCTTTTAAATGCCCCCAGGGATGGCAACTCCACCACTGCCCTGGGCAGCCTGTTCCAGGCCCTGACAGCCCTTTCTGGGAAATTTTTCCTCATTTCCAACCTAAACCTCCCCTGACACAACTTCAGGTCATTTCCTCCCATTCTATCACTTCTTACCTGGCAAAGGAGATTACTGCTCAGCTTACTACAACCTTCTTCCAGACTTTCTCTTGTACCAGAGCCTGGTTTAATGCTCTAAAGACTCCAGGCCTCACTCCATGAGCAGCTTTTAATAAAGAACTTAAGTTTTTCTTCAGATCTGAAGCTCACTACATCTAAAATTCAAAGAGCTCAAAAAAAACCCTCAAAACCAAGTGTGCTGATTATCCCAGAACTCAACAGCCATTTCATAGCACAATGGGTAGAACCATAAGAAAAATACAGTAGCTCTAATATCAAAGCTACTTGAACTGACTAACAAAAACCCTTCAGAGATTCATGCATTGTGGAGAATAACAGTTTCTCATTCTCAGAGATGGTGCTGACAGAGTGCAATGACTAAAGAGCAGCTTCTTTCCCCTTCACTTGCTTCTGCTGTCAGAGCGACAAATTCAGCTCACTTGGCTGGTGCTGAAGTATTTCTTCATGAAATTTTAAAGAACAACTGATAATAGGAATTGACAAGCTTTGTCCCAGGCAGAATCTACTTCCTAAAATCTAGAGTAGAAGAGAAGAGACTGTTAATATAGTAATGGAGATCACAGCCTGATGACACAGGTAAAAGTATGAAATACACCCTGCCAGAGCCAGTTCTCAGTATAGAGAAGAGCTGGTTATTTCAGCCAGGAGCTACACTCAACTGCATTGGGCCTATTTTATTCAACAAAATTTTTAAAGTTTTTAAAAAAAAAGTCAACAACAGTTCCTGAGGTAAACCTGATAGGATGCAGCTGGCCACACAGAAAAAACAGAGAGTAAGCACCCGAGCAGGGCCAGACACCAAGAGTCCAGGCCAAACATCCTGCCAGCCTCTGCACCGAAGGAGGGCAGGCCCGGGGAGAGGAAAGCTGCTGGCCAGCAGGTGATGCTGCAGGGAGCCCAGCTCTGCCTCACGCCGCTTACCGAAGAGCTTGGCGTCTTCCACGAACTTCTGCGTCCTCCTCCGGACGTTCTCGGAGTCTGCCAGGGCCCTCCGGTACCGCTCCTGTCGGCACAACAGCAAGGGGAGAGGGAAAACCCACTTCCTGACCGTTGGCAATCCCCTGGACACGCTTCACCAAGAGCCCACTTCTCCTCAGAAGGCTGCAGGCAAAGCCCAACCCCAACCCCCCTGCTGCTGACGAACCAGCACAGCTGCAGGCGCCTCGGAGAGCCCGGCGAGGGCGGAAGCGCTGGGGGCACAGCTCGGTCAGCTCGGCACTGCCAGGCTGCGGCCGCGGCTCTGCAGCCGCTCCTCCCTCC